GCATACTCCACACGACTTACGGCGGTGTAGATAAGGTTGCTCCAACACAGCCGCTGGTCTATGATCCATAAGGTTTCTCTTATGGTAAGCCCTTGCGCGCTGTGGACTGTCATGCAATAGCCCAAGCGCCAGTCTGGATGGGAGGTAATTCTTTCCACCTTTTCAATGGGCACCCAGGCTTTATCATGCGTTACTGCGTTTTGCAGTTGGATGTCGGTACCGGGTACGCAGACGTCACGGCGCTGCATGCGGGTGTCGTGGGGTTTATAGCAAACAGGTACGGGATACGTAGGGAAGCGCTCTCGGTGTATATTTAGCAAATCCTTTTGTATGCGAGACTGTGCTGCGCGTTTGCTGCTCAGCACCAGATCCTTTGGATGCCACGTGTAAAGGAAGTCCTCGTAGGACTTCGCTCGTGCACGTTTGCGCAGTGTCTTGCATTGGTCGGCATCACTGAGCCCCCTTAATTCTGCTTTCAGGTTTCTTATTTGATCCTTGCTGCGGTAGTCGGCGTTAATTTCCTCCGCATGGTCTACCATTTCTTTTAGCCATTCGTGGGGCATCTCTCCGGCTATTGGAGAAGGCTGGCAGGGATCTCCGGCGAATATTACTTGACACTTTCCACGGAGGAATTCTACGAATTCTTTGAGGATTTCCAAAGGTACGGTGCAGATTTYGTCCCAAAGTATCACCGGAGGTATGTCGTGGATGGCTTCCGGCACCCACTTTTGGCCATTCCAGCGAAAGAAGCTGTGGTAGGTCTGCGCGTCGTGGCCCTGACTGCATAGTTCTCTTTCCAAACGGTGTGTTGGCGTTAGCACCTTTATCTTAGGAAAGAGTTCCAAAACACGCGTCGTCTTACCGCTGCCTCCCGTACCGTAGAGGTAAGAGAAGCGTTGGTAGGAAATGGGGTCCTTTACGGTTGGCATGGGCCTCATTGTGGGCATTACGACGCCCCAAGTATTTTCGCCGCGATATTCCACGCGTGCTCTCCATGCTTTTATCTCCTCATCTTTAACGCGCCATTGACCACTTTCCGCCAACTCGTCGTCGGTGTAAAATTCCTTCATCTTTTCTAACACTTCGGGCTTTACGTACAAGGAATCCGTGGCTACGCGCGGGATGTCCTCTTTGTCAAACCGCAGGAGCATCGCGAGAAGGTTAATGTGCGCGTAGGCTAACATGCTGGCACGCAGATGATAATACTGCGGTCGATGGTCCTGGTAGTAACACAAAGCATTCCATTCGTGTAGTTTATCATCTACGAGGTAATCCCATTTCTCCACGGATACCATTGTTCCTTCATCATGGGCGCGCTTAATAAGGAAACTTAGTTCGCCTTCGTCTGTTATCAGGCGTCGCTGCATGTGTTTCTCGCCCTCCTTAGCGCCCTGTGTGAATTTTCCTATGACAACGCGTGCCGTGGGGTTGTGTTCTGG